ATTAGCCTTGAGCATTACTACAATAAATGCTAGTACAAATTTCAAGTTACAATTAGTTTGCTGGTCATGCTACTAAGACTTAAAGTGTTCTTTACGTTGTTCTTTAATCTGGAAGTAACTGTTAATAAATGTATTCCACTTAAGAATAAAGTGCACACAGGTCAGGCACAGTGGCTCACACCTATAATCCCAGCACTTTGGGAGGCTGAGGCAGGCAGATCACCTGAGGTAGAGAAATTGAGACCAGATTGACCAACATGGAGAAACTGGTCTCTACTAAAAATACAAAATAGGCCAGACATGGTGGCACATGCCTGTAATGCCAGCTACTAAGGAGGCTAAGGCAGGAGTATTGCTTGAACCTGGGAGGTGGAGGTTGCAGTGAGCTGAAATGGTGCCACTGCACTCTAGCCTGGGCAACAAGAGTGAAACTCTGTCTCAAAAAAATAATAATAGTAATAAAAGAATAAAGTACACAGAAATAAATGGAGAGATTGCATGTTTTTACATGATGGTCTGTATAGATGATTCTTCTTTTATAGATTTCTTTTTCAGAAAAGGCCTTAGCTGATCTTTTTTTCAGAGAGGTAGAAGTGGGTGATTAAGATGTAGTTTTAAGTAATCTCAATTATGAGTCTACAAAATAGTGCCAGGTTCTCAAATCTCCTAATTATCGAAATAATCTGACCCAGCTATTATTTTTCTTAAGTATGCTATGCCCAGGAGTCCCTCCCCAAAACCTTCTGATTTGGCAAGTTTTGAATGGAGCACCTGAATCTTTATAGTCACCCCAGATGAAGGAATTCAGTCAATTTGCTTATCTGTAAAAGAGAAAAGTTGTGGTTTAGAAAGATTAAAATAGTTTGATAAAAAGGAGTTCCAACTCACATTTATAGCAGTATTATTCACCACAGCCAAAAGGTAGAACCAACCCCAGTGTCCACTGATGGATGAATGGATAAATTAAATGTGGTAGCCATTGTGTAATATATAAATATTTTATAATATGTATCTTAAATATGAAAAATAAAATTTATTTTTACAAAGGTTATATATATATATACTATGAAATATTCTTCTGCCTTAAGAAAAAAGGGAATTTCTCACATATGCTACAACATAAATGAATCTTGAAGACATTATGTTAAATAAGGCAGTCACAAAAGGACAAATTCCAATTTTAAGAGCTATGCAGAGTAGCAAAATTCACAGGCATGGAAAATAGACTAGTGGTTGCAGGAGCATAGGACAGAGGGAAATGGCAGTTTTGGTTTTGCAGACAAAGAATTTCTGGAGATATTGTGGTTGCACAATAATATGAATATAGTTAGCACATTGAACTGCACACTTAAAAGCATTAAGATGGTAAATTTTATGTTGTGTGTATTTTACCATAATAAAACAAATTTAAAAGGGGCTCAGTGTAAGAATATAATTTCCTGATTCACACTTTTGCTGTTGAACAGCACCATGAAAATATGATACACTCTTTATAATAATCAATTGTTACCACAGCCAGACTGAAAAAAAATTGATTAAGGAGATAGTCCATCTCTCTTTGAGCAGCAGACTTCAGGGAGTTGTTCTATCTGCAGGGCTTATCCATCAAAGGGAAGATGTGGATGCAGGCCAGTTGAATAGGATTCTGGATCAAATCTAGCATAATTCGAGGAAAATTCTCTGATCTCAATGATCAAAAATCTCCTTGGAGTGGCATACAACATTGGAGTATAAAGCCCATGAATAATCTTGCATTTAGCATTAATTTTATTCAACATAACATTTCCCAGATTGCTTTTCTTAGATTAAAAAATAGATAAAGCTCTAAACCTAGGTATTGACTCACCATCTAGAGCCAGTTAGATTAGTTACAGAAAAAGCTTACAGCAGCATCTTACAGAAAAAGCTCCATTCTGTAGTTTATCAGCAACTTTCTGGGAGCTCCCTGTGTATTTATAGCTTGGTGATTCATAGTTCCCAGGATTCGATTCTGTGCTAAGTAGTCAGTTTATTCATTAGAATGTGCCACATTGTCCCAGATGAACTAAACCGATTTATTAGCATATGAAGCCAAATAAGAAAGGAAAAAATCTCTGGGAATTCATCAGACATAATCCTGAGAACTACATGATCATGGAAACTGCCACCCTGATAATTGAACAATTCACATCTCAAATGAAAATACTAAATTAATTCAACTATAAAAACAAGTAGAGAAGGCACAAGGGTATGACTGCAGTCTGTGTACGTATGCATGTACTTGTGTGATTAATAAACCATAAAAATGCACTACTTTGCTCATATCCCAAGTATCACAAGTTTTTAATTTTGCTTACTTATACAGAAAAGTAAGGTGAATATATTGTCTGGAATTTTTCAATTTTTAAAAAAAAATTTCAACAACATAAAATAAAAATGAACAATTATGCTCGATTTCCTCACTCTGAACTTTTCTGACCACTATTAATTCAATTTAATATTTAATATACCTTTACATATCTATACACAAATCACTAGCTGGGTAAATAAGTAATCTTAAGTTCCTGCTTTAGAGAATTTTATAATTTATCAAAGGAAGAGGTACGGAAGAATCTGTCAAACTTGGCTATACATTAAATCACCCGGGGAGCTTTTATAAAATGTGGATGTTCAGTCCCCAACCTCAGAGGCTTTGATTTAATTTATCTGTGTTTGAGCTTTTTAAAGAAATGTGTACATATTTAACATTACTTGTTAACATTATTTAACATTATTTGTTAAATATTCCCTCAAATAATGTTAATGAATAGAATGAAAAAAAACAGTTCTCAACAAAGCCTGGTTCAGAATAGGATGCTTCCAGATCAATGTGGTGGATAAATACCCCCAACTTTCTCCTTTCTTTTCTAATACTTGGATGAAATACAATATATTATATATATACGTGTGTATATATATATACACGTATATATATGTGTGTGTATATATATATATGTGTGTATATATATATATTTATATATATATATGTGTGTATATATATATATATTTATATATATATATATGTATATATTTAATTGCAGTCCTTAAAAGAAAGAAAATATGTCATGAGGTGACCAGACTTCCATTGGAATTTCTAGCACACAAATCTGGTCACCTCGTGACATTAACAGAGTAGAAGAAACCACAGCTCAAAACAGAAGAGAGAAGACAAGATTCAGAACAGTTTTTTCCCTAGGTTGTCTCAAAGAAAATCTCAGGTTGTAGTCAAAAAATAGAAGAAATATAAAATGAAAAAAAAAGTTTTTTTTTTAAGTGCATCTAGAATGCACTTTTTAAAAAAAATAGTACAGAGGGCAGAGTGCAGGCCAACTATGCCTCTTGTCCCCTGTGTAAAGAGAAGGGATGCAATGCCCCAGATAAAACATAATAACTGCTCTCTTAGAAAAGGATTTAGGAGTGCTCTTGCTGGAAGTGTTAATCAATGAGACACAAGAATTAGACCTCTAGTTACTCTGTACCTCTTCATCACATGCAAAGTAAGGAATATGAGAAAAAAAAGACACATATCTCTGTATGAGTGAAACAAACTAAAATGTGCCACATATAGAGTAAACTTCTCCTTATTTGGCAGTTATAAAAATCTCCAGACTGTCTTCTAATTCTATTTATTTTATTTTCATTTCTGTTTAATGCAATCTTAAACCCATTTATGTTTTCATTTTTATGTATTGTATATTCGTTTCTAGAATCTCTACTTCATTTTTTTAGGACTACTGTTTTCCACAAGTGGATAGATATTTTTTTACCCTGCAGATACATTTAATGTGCTCTTTCTTTACTTAAATGAAGTAAGGAAAGTAATTTGTGAGTCTAGTCACTCCAAAATTTGAAAATTTCACAGATCTATTTCTACTATAGGCTGTTTTCACTGGTTTTAACTCATAATATCTTGTTTCCTTGTATGTTTGATTATATACCAGCATGTCTTTGTCATTGCCCATAAAAATCAATGTGATGATTCCCTGAAACCTAGAATAAAGTGCCTTCCTTTTAGAGACAATTTATTTTTGTTTGTCTCAATGGTACTTAATCCCAATCACCAGTGTAGGAACAGCAAATAATAATATATTAAAGCTTCAAATAGAGGAAGAAGATATTGAATATTTTCAACACAAAGAAATGATAAATGTTTAAGACAATGAATGTGCTAATTACCTTGATCTGGTTACTATATACGCATTGAAACATTACTATGTGCTCCATAAATATGTACAATTAGTATATGTCAACTTAAAAAAGTAAACCTAAATTCCAGTGATGTGAATCCCAGGGCTACAAATCCAAATACCATGAGCTAATGAATAAATCTTCTTAGGGAAAATTCCTGTCTTTCTTTTTGCCCCCCTTCTGCTCAGAGTCAAATAAACTCTCCCTGAAATTATCTGGAAGTGTTGAGAGGAATATGGATTTACCTCTCTTACTCACTCTTTTTCAACATGAAGTCATGACTCAGAGTCCAAGTTCAATGCTGAAATAAAGAGAGTTTGGTAAACTCAAGCAGAACTTACGCTATCTCTATTTTCCACACATGTAACTCATTTTCATAATTTAATATTTAAGCATAATTGATTTAAATTGTTCTGCTTATATCTCTGAATTTCGGGTTTCTTTTAAAATTTAGCCTGCTAATTTCTTACTATCAGGCCAAAAAAAGTTTCAGGTTTTATAAGATCATTTTTAAGATCTCTTACCCAGCATTTTGTTTGTTCTCTATCAACTGAACTTTCTGAAAAACATAGTTGATTATAACTGAAAATATTGATTAGAACATTGGCACACACTTTGTTATTGTTTTCATTTGTATGTACATTGCAGCACTATTCATAATAGCAAAGACATGGAATCAGAATAGGTGCCCATCAATGGTAGAATGAATAAAGAAAATGTGGTACATATAAAGCATGAAATACTACACAGCCATAAAAAAGAATGAAATCACACTCTGCAGTGGCATGGATGCAGCTGGAGGCCATTATATTAAGCAAATTAATGCAGAAACAGAAAATAAAATACCACATGTTCTCACTTATAAGTGGGAAGTAAACAGTGGGTACACATGGACACAAAGATGGAAAAAGTAGACACTGGGGAATACTAGAGGGAGCAGGGTAAGATGGGGGCAAGGGTTGAAAAACTAATTATTGAGTATTACACTCACTACCAGGCTGACAGGATCAACCATACCCTAAACCTCAGCCTCATACAATATACTTATGTAGCAAACCTGCACATGTACCCTATGAATCTAAAATAAAAGGTGAAATTATATTTTTAAAAATTTAAAATAAAAGCATACCTCTGCAGCAGTAGCTGGGGTAACACAGCCTTTCCCCACCAGTAAAAAAAAAAAAAAAAAAAAAAAATTAAAAGTAAGAATAAAAGTAAATAGATAAATTTTGAGTCTGTCTTAGACACATTTTAAGGTACCACTCTCTCTTTATAATGGCTTTTTAGTTGAATGTGTGCAAGTAAGTGTATGCAGGGCACATGTGTATGTGCTTATATATATTCAGAACTTAGCTGTAATACAACTCTGTCTTTAATAAGCCACTGATTGCCTCTGAACCAATTTTCTCAGTTGTAAATTGAAATAGTAGAATTAAGTGATCTCAAATATCTGTTCTAGTTTTACAATCTATATTTCTATGATACAAAGGTTGCATTTTGAAGTAATGTCTGTCTTTTATCTTTTATATCTCTTTCATATTTCCCATGCCAAGATATTTTTCACAAAGTCCTGGGGGAAAAAAAATTCAGAAACAAATAGAAGTGGTTCGTTATTGCCATAAAATAAAGCTCAGCTCTTTTGAACGTGCATGAGACCCCAGGTGCCCTGGAGTCTGTCTGCCTTACCAGGTTCACCCCTTACTGCTCCTTGCCACATAATTTCTGCTGTGGAAACAACATATTGATTAAAGCTCTATTCCTCTATCCATGCTTTTTACTGCATTTCTTTGTTAACCTAACTCCTCTTCTTCCTTTCAAATCAGCCCAGATGTCTTCTCTTTCAAGTTTTCTTTAAACTCTAGGACAGACTTGGCATTTTGTTTCAGAGCTTATGCTATCGTAGCACTTACTTAATATTATGTTGAAACCACCTGCTTCTGGAAACTCCCTGAAGACAAGACTTGCTGTCTTTTACCTTTATAGCCTCAAAATGAATATATGTTTAATTTCTAAAAGAAGATTACATCTGATTTTATCCTCATTAGGTAGTGTTTTTATTTTTGACTTTCAATATGTTCTGCATCAATACAAACTTTATTGTTTTATTCATATTGTATTAATTATTTTAACACTGAGTTATCAGATTACTTCTAACAGTAGGACATTGGCATTTTACTAATCTCTTAAATATGACATTTTATATGATGGTCACTATTTCTTCTGAAAAACTCATATATATTCAATTTTATAATTAGTTTATATTAATGAAACAGGAAAAAAGATTCAAACTTTTTTTCGGAAATTTACTATGCTGAAAAAATTATACTAACATCTGAAAATTGTGCCATTTTGCATGAGATGAATAACAATTTTAAGTATTCTTTAGTAATTATTCTATTAATAATTGAATTAATAATCAAAATAGTAGCTATAATTTATTAAGTACTTATTTTACTCCAGATGCTCTTCTGAAAGTTTTAAACATAACTCAGGTGATACCTACAACAATGCTATAATGCTAACATTGTCTTTATTCTATAAATTCACTTTACAGAAAATTAAATATGTCTTAAACATTAATTTAGTGCCTAGTTGTCCACGTATTTTTCATTTGAACCCAGTATACCTATTAAAGTGGATTAATTTAACTTAATCAACTGAAAGATAATAATAGTATTAGATACTGTATATATATATATACATAAAGAGTATCTTGGTAGGTACTGTGGAGGGAAGATGAGGAATTAAAGCATACATCTTAACCTTTAGGGGTTTGCTATCTTACAGAGGAAACAGCGTATAAAAATCTGCTGTTTCATGAGTTCTTCATATTTTTTTTTACTGCTCATACATTTAAGCAATGTCTAAGTCATTGTTTTTTGGTACATTTTCAAGAATAAACATAATAAAAAATGAAATTATAATTAATTCATACAGCAAGGTTTGCTTGTAGAAAATAATGTATTTTTTTCCCAACACTTTGAAAATGCTAGGAATGGCTTCTTTCGCCATGTCCAAGCTTTTTAGCATAAATGCAGCCCCATTTGTCTATTTACGTTTGTCACCTATGCTTTGGGGTCCTACACAACAAATCATTGCCGAGGCCAATGCTGTGAAACTTCTCCCCTTTGTTTTCTTCCAGTATTTTTACAATGTCAGGTCTTAGATTTGAGTATTTAATTCATTTGGAGTTATTTGTACATGGCGTGTGAACCCCAAATATCTGAGACAGGTCTCAGTTGATTTAGAAAATTTATTTTGCAAAGATTGAGGACACTTACCCGTGACACAGCCTCAGAAGGTACTGACAACATGTGCCCAAGGTGATCAGAGCACAGCTTGGTTTTATACATTTTAGACAGACATGAGACATCAATCGACATATAAAAGACGAACACTGGTTCAGTCTGAAAAGGTGGGTCAACTCGAATCAAAGGCAGGGCAACTTGAAGTAGGGAGGGGGCTTCCAGGTCATGGGAAGAAAAGTGACAAATGGGTGGTTGCGTTCTTTTGAGTTTCTGATTAGCCTCTCCAAAGGAGTCAATCAGATGTGCCTTTATCGCTGAGAGCAGAGGGGTGACTTTAAATAGAATAGGAAACAGGTTTGCCCTCAGCTTGGCTTTTCCCTTTAGCTTAGTGATGGGGCCCCAAGATTTATTTTCCTTTCACAGGTGTGTGACAAGGGTCCAGTTCCATTTTTCTGCATGAGGATAACAACACAGCGAAACTGCAATCTACAGAATCAGAGAAAATATTTGTAACCAATAGGTCTAATAAAATGGTAATATCCTAAATAAGCAAGAAACTCAAAATTCTCAACAGCAGAAAAAGAAAAAAAGACCTGGGCAAAGAACCTGAATAGACATATCTCTAAAGAAGATATACGAATGACCAACAGTCAAATGAAAATATGTCTCATCACGGAAATGCAAATTAAAACCATAGATACCACCTTGCCCGTTAGAACAGCTATTTTCTTTCTCTTTTTAAACATTTTGTTATTTTACTTTGAGATCTGGGATGCACGTGTAGAATGTGTGGTGGTTTGCTGCACCTATTGACCCATCACCTAGGTTTCCTCCCCTTGCCCCCCCACCCCTCAGCAGGCCCCAGTGTATGTTAAAACAGCTATTTTCAAAAAGACAAAATATAACCACAAATGTTGGCAAGGATATAGAGACAAGGAAACCCTGTTCACTGTTGGTGGGAATATAAATTAACACAACCACTAAGTAAAACAACGTGGAGGCTCCTCAAGAGACTAAAACGTAGATCTACCATATGATCCAGCAATCCCACTGCTGGGTATATATCCAAAGGAAATGAAAACAACATATTGAGGAGATAGTTGCACTCTCATGTTTATCGTAGCACTAGTCACAATGCGCAAGTTATGGTATCAACCTAAGCTTCCTTTAACAAATGAATGGATAGAGAAAATGTGGCATATCTACATAATGTAATTCCAGCCAGCCTTTAAAAAGAAGAAAATCTTGTCCTTTCAAAAATAGGTGAACCTGGAGGACAATATGCTAAGTAAAATAAGCCAGGCACAGAAAAGCAAATATCACAAGTTCTCAATTACATGTAGAATCTAAAACAATCAAACTCATAGAAGCGAAAATTTAATGGTGGTTATCAGAGACAAGGAGTTGGGGAAATGGTCAAAGGATATGAAGCTGCCAGAAGACAGGAAGAATAAATGTTAAGTATTTAAGTTGATGGATATGTTAATTAGCTTGATTTAATCACTCCACACTCTGTATATACATGATAACATCACTTTGTATCCCATAATTATATAATTGATCAAAAAACAAAATTAAATAAAAATCATAAAATACTGGTAATAAACATTTGTTAAGATTAATACTGAATAACAATATTTTTTACTCATCTAGCCACTTCATTTATAAATAAAAATTATAAGATTAATAATGTTGATAAATATTGAAGGTGAACCTCAGCTGCACTTCCTCAAGGACTGTCAAAAGCATAAGGATTATTGTTAAAAGAAGAGTGTTTTTTGGACATGCACTTTGATAGTCCCAGTTATTATAGTACAAATCATTCAGTTTAATTGATTTAAACTGAACCATCTGCTGTCTAATTGGCTCACAGCCAGTGGGATTTGTGTTAGTAAATGAGTATCAGAGATAGAAAGAATACTAATGTGAAGTTTATGTTTCACTAAGAATGTCTCCTTGTGAATCGCTTGAAACCAGAAGGTGAAGGTTGCAGTGAGCCAAGATTGTGCCACTGCACTCCAGCCTGGGCAACAAGAGCGAAATTCCGACTCAAAAAGAAAAAGAAAAAAAAAAAAAGAATGTCTCCTTATTCATTGACAAAGATTAAACATATTAAAATGTATGCAAATCAAAGAGCCTACTTTTAAGACTTCTCCTGAACAAGATAGAATAAGTAGGATTAGATATATCTTCCTGCCCAAAACATTTTTGAAATGCACAAAATAAATGAAACAAAGGTTCTGAAGACATTGGATATCAGACCATGACAGAGAGCAATAACAGAGATAGTAAATAAACATTGTAAGCTCTCTGATTGTCCCAGTATACTTTGTGAAGATGTTTCCAGGTGGCACAGAAAGAGGAAAACCAGATAGATCCTATGGCTTGAAGAGACATAGTAGGGAAAGAAGGGAAGACACAGTTGACAGAGTTTGCAATGTAGAGCACCAGAAAGGAGAGAGTTGCCCAGAAAGAGAATTCTGGAGATCTGGAAGAGTTCTTAAGTCATCAGCTGAATACTAATTAGCCCATGAACATGGGAAAACAACTTGAGACCAAAGAAAGAAATGTATGAAAAGACAGAGGTAGCATCTTTTGCACTTACACAGGACCGGAAAAATAAATGCTCATTTCCACTAACAAGAGTGGAAATCCTAATAATTCACAGAGTATCGGGTAGAGTATATAAAAAATTTGTGCCTCAATTGTGGAGCAAAATTAGCCATAGGCCAGGTTCTGCTGTGGTCCTGCCTAACAAAATTTAAAGGCAATAAGCAGATATGAACTGCAAGAAATGTTAGAGGAATTCCCACAGGTAGAAGGAATATAATCCAGATGGAAATAAAAATTTACAGAAAAGGTTGATTTTTTTCCTTATTATAGGTCACCTTTTTCTGCTTCTTTTTTATGCCTTGGGATTTTACATTAGATGTAGAATTGAAAATTCAACTTTGTTGGGCTCTTGGCAATTTTTTTGTTCATTTTACAAATACTCTTGAGCTTTTTTCTGGAATATGATTAATTTATTGACAACAGTTTAATTCTTTCAGGTTTTTCCTTTAGCATATGCTAAAAGCCCATACAGAGGATCAATAGCATAAAATACCTCCTAAGAACATTTCTGCTTCGATGTTTGAAATGATGGCCAATTTATCAATATTGTGATGATAATCTCATAGAATATTTTACCAAATGTCTATTTGAGATTATCTGATGTCATCCAACAGCCATGGTGGCTTTCTTAGATTATGTCCTATAGACCTTGCAACCTGACAATTCCCATCTGTTCTTCACAGAATTGGAAAGCAAATTTTGTGCACCTGTGACAGAATTCTTGATATTCTTCATAGATTTTTGTCATTCTGTTCAAGGAGAGATTCTTGCATAAAAACTTTAATCATTAATATTGAAATATAAAATTTAAAAATATATGAAATAAAAATTTGGTACTGGATTATCCAAAATATTTATTTTTGGCATGGGTACTTCTCAAATTACAGAATTATAACCCTCAGATTTTCTTCACCAGCAAGGATATTGTAAAACAACAAAAGAGAAACTTAATATTTTCAATAAGTTACCAGGAAGCATGGTGTCCTCAGTTCCTAGTGTTCTTGGGAGAAAGAATTTGGCCAAGAGACAATTTAACAAAGAGAGCAGAGAGTTTTTGAGGAAAACACACTCCAAGAGAGGAGTGAGCTTACTAGGCTGGGAGCAACAGCAGTAGCAGCAATGGTTAAGTGGTATCACAGATTATTTAAAGTGGCAGAGTGGGCTGCTTGGAGGAGAATGGGCCAGCGACCCTGAAAGTTCTATGTTGTTGTTTTTTATCATGTCATACACTTTCTTTAAGTTTGCACCTCTGTCTCAAATCTCTGCTTTTGTCTGTGTCTGATTTCCCACTTCTGCCTTAAGTCCCTGCCTTTTCCCCCACCAAGTTCCCACCGCAGGTTTGTAGGATTCTCCCTTACTGTCAGTTGATACACAAGTGCAGGCCCAGTGATCTATACAAATCTTTCCTAATGGTAGTGCGGTTCATTACTACCACCCCAGGAAGGTGTATAAACAGCAGTTAAATATGTAGTTATTGTGCCTTTGTATCTCTTAGCAATTTCCCCTTTGCCTTTTTCCCCTCCTTATCAGCATATAGCTAACTATAGTTTCACAGTTCAATCACGGAATGAGTGATTACTGGGCATTTTAAGGGGCATTTTGGAGAGTTCTTTCTTGCATAGGTATTTTCCTTCCTCTCTACTCATATCTAGCATGCATATTTTGGATGGTCTCTGGAGTGTGAGATTTCATAGTGCTTACATTTTTAGGGGCTACCCTTCTTGCTCATGTCTAACTATCCACCTACTCTAACAAATACATATTACACTATAGGTGAGATGGCTAGATTATTGGAAGATAACCTTGATTAATTTACCCAAGACTAAAATTATTCTGAGGCAAGGAGGATAATCCCTGACTACTGATCCAAGTGGTAGGCTGTGATAGGCAATGACTATGTCATGTTGCTGAGTTTATACCTCTAGAGCATAGCCTAATGCTTTTATAGACATTTACAAAACATTTATGATATTTTAGGAAGAATACTTCTGAACTTTTATGTGTGCCATGTTGTTGATCTTACATACCTATGATATGTCCTAATTTATATATAAAAACAAAATTTTATGATATTCTAGAATAAATAAATATTCTTATGGGTTTTCTCCAATTACTCTGTTCTCCAATTATATTCTGCTCATTGGAATAATTTGAAAATAATTCTAGACTCATAACTCATACATACTGTAAGGACTATGGGATATCTAGATTGGTTATAATCTGCTAATTTGTTTAATATTTAGAGATCTTCTAAAAATAATTCTTTCATAGTTTGTTTCTTCTGAAACTTCAGTGTCCAAAGTAGGTTACCCAAAAAAGTTACATGATTTCTATCACAGAGAATAAAGAAATTTCCTCTGATAATGTTCACAAATTAATAGTTTATAGGAAAGAGACTGAAAGAGACTAAGGATTGTTAAAAATGTTCAAGACTGAGTGTTTTCTGTTAATCAAGGCAAATAAAGTTCAGTTACCTAAAGGATTTAGTATTTATATTAAGCCTCAAGATTAACTTTTTCTATATCTTTCTTTCCTTCTTGCACAATTCAAAAATTTTATTTCATCTGGAGAGCCATATATTAATTATCATTTTTAGTCAGTTTATAATCTTCTAAATCTCTTCGAAATATACAGCCACATTTGGAGGTTTTGTAAGTTGACAATTTTTCTTTCCAAGTTAGATTTCCTGTTTTCCTTCTTTTGGGCCTGTGAACATTTAGAAATAGAGAGAGCAAGGATCCTTTTAAACTGCTCTTGACTGTACTACAGGCTACTCTTTGAAAATGTTCTAAAATATATATATATATATATATATATATATATATATATATATATAAAGTTTTCTTAAGTAATTCTAAAATGCATTACATTGAAGATTTTTAATTTTTTTTTTTTTTGTATTTCAAGGTCACCTTTGAATTACATACAGCTAGGTTGCTTAAATCATTTTCTGGTCCCTCCCACTCTATTGTTTATAACAATGTTTTTTTCCAGAAAAGGGGTTAACAATTAAGTAAACTCATTGGCATAGATATACTTGTCCAGAAGGTTTTTTAAAAATCCATAAATCATAGTACTTAACATGGCTTTAGGCTGGGATTTAAAAGCAATATGAAATTTCACGTTCTCACTAAGATGGTATAAAAAGGATTAGATTTACCACCCTGCTGGGGAAACAAAACAAAACAAAAATAAAAAATAAGAAAAAAATGTCTTTCAGACATTGACTTTTAAAAGGCATCTCTCAAGGCTGATTTTTCACAGAAGTGAAGCAGGTGAGACTAATCTTGTAACAGCTCTGGTTTGCTTCCTACACAAAATTTTAAAAACACGTGAACAGAGAGGTACACCCAAAGCCCCTAAGCGAACTCATGGAAGTGAAGAATATTAATGGAGAAAAGGAAAAGTAGAGGCAGCTGGAAGTTGTAGAGGCAGAGATCTGGAAAAGACAGCTATGTCATTTCTTAGGTGTAGTAGTAATTGATTTATAAATTTAGGAGCTCCAGTGTTAGATGCGTATATATTTAAGATTGTGATACTTTCCTATTGGACAAGACCTTTTATTGTTATATAACGTCCCTCTTTGTCTTTTTTAACTACTATTGCTTTAAAGTTTGTTTTGTCTGATATAATAATAGCTACTCCTGCTAGTTTTTGTTGTCCATTTTCATAAAATATCTTTTTCCACCCCTTTGCCTTAAGTTTATGTGAGTAGTTATGTGTTAGGGGAGTCTCTCTTGAAGGCAGCAGGTACTTGGTTGGTGAATTCTTATCCATTCTGTCATTCTGTATCTTTTAAGTGAAGCATTTAGGCCATTTATATTCATTTAGTATTGAGATGTGAGGTACTATTCTATTCATCCTGTTATTTGTTGCTTGCATACCCTTGGTTGTTTTGGGTTTTTGTTGTTGTTGTTGTTGTTATTGTTTGTGCGTGTGTGTTGTTGTATTATAGGCCCTGTAAGATTTATGTTTTCAAATGTCCTGTTTTGATGTATTTTGAGGATTTGTTCCAAGACTTAGAGGTCCTTTTAGCAGTTCTTGTAGTGCTGGCTTGGTAGTGGCACAGTCCCTCAACATTTGTTTGTCTGACAAAGACTATCTTTCATACAAAAAACTGTATCCTCCATTTATGATACTTAGTATCACTGGATACAAAATTCTTGACTGATATTTGTTTTGTTTAAAGAGGCTGAAGATAGGGCACCAATCCCTTCTAGTCTGTAGGTTTTCTCCTGAGAAATCTGCTGTTAATCTGATGGGTTTTCCTTTATAGGACACCCTATTCAACAAATGGTGCTGGGATAATTGGCAAGCTACATGTAGAAAAGTAAAAATGAATCCTTTTCGCTCACCTTATATAAAAATCAATTTGAGGTGGATCAAGGACTTACATCTAAAACCTGAAATCATAAAAATTCTAGAAGATAACATTGAAGAAACCCTTCTAGATATTGGCTTAGGCAAAGACTCCATGACCAAGAACCCCAAAGCAAATATAACAAAAGCAATGATAAATAGGTGGGACTTCATTACACTAAAAAGTTTCTTCACAGCAAAAGAAACAATCAGCAGAGTAAATGGACAACCTACAGAGTGGTAGGAAATCTTCACAATCTATACATCTGACAAAAAACTAATATACAGACTCTACAAGGACCTCAAACAAATTAGCAAGAAAAACAAATCCCTTCAAAAAGTGGGCTAAGGACGTGAATGAACAATTCTCAAAGAAAGAGTTGCAGTGAGCCAAGATTGCGCCACTACACTCCATCCCTGCTACAGAATGAGACTCAGTCAAAAAAAAAAAAAAAAAAAAAAAAAAACCAGAATTGAAATGTGTGTTTATTGGTTGCACAGTAGTGCTAGTGGCTTCGTGGTTTGGTCCTCGGAGCCGGAAGCCACCACTGGTACTGAGCTGGTAGGAAGCCCCTGTCCATGAGCTCATTGGAGCTTTAACCCATTATCACTCCTCCAACTCACTGACACACAAAAAAAAATGGTTGAAGCAGATGCCCAGGAAAGCTCTTCATTGGTGGCCTTAATACAGAAACAAACGAGAAAGCTCTTGGCACAGTATTTGGCAAATATGGACAAATAGTGAAAGTACTCTTGATGAAAGACCATGAAACCAACAAATCAAGAGGATTTGCTTTTGTCAACTTTGAAAGCCCAGCAGACACTAAAGATGCAGCCAGAGACATGAATGGAAAGTCACCAGATGGAAAAACCATCAAGGTGGAACAAGTCACCAAACCATCATTCGAAAGTGGTAGACATGAACTGCCTCCACCTCCAAGAAGTAGAGGCCTTCTAAGAGATATTAGAGGTGGAGGAGGAGGAAGTGGAGGAACCAGGGGACCACCCTCTCAAGGAGGACGCATGGTTGATGGTGGATATTCCATTAATTTTAACATGAGTTCTTCCAGGGGACCGCTCCCAGTAAAGGGTCACCACCAAGAAGTGGGGTTCCTTCTCCTAAGAGATCTGCACCTTTAGGACCAGTTCGCAGCAGCAGTGGAATGGGAGGAAGAGCTCCTGTATCATGTGGAAGAGATAGTTATGGAGGTCCACCTCGAAGGTAACCACTGCCATCTCATAAAGGTATTTATTTGTCCCCAAGAGATGATGGATATTCTACTAAAGACAGCTTACCCAAGTTTTCTTGATACAAGAGATTATACACTACTACCACAAGATTATACTTACTTACTCGGATTATGGTCATTTCAGTTCACGTGATGACTATCCATCCAGAGTCTACAGCGATAGAGATGGATATGGTCATGATCATAACTATTCAGATCATCCAAGTGGAAGTTCCTACAGAGATTCGTATGAGAGTTAAAGTAACTCACGCAGTGCTCCACCTACATAAGAGCCCTGCCATCTTATCATGGAATCAGTCGCTATCATGATTACAGCAGTTTACGTGACCTAAATGGTGGAAGTCGAGACAGTTACTCAAGCAGCCGAAATGATCTCTCCTCAAGTAGTCATGACCGCATTGGCAGACAAGAAAGAGGGCTGCCCCCTTCTATGGAAAGCCCTCCTCCATGTGATTCCTACAGCAGAGCAAGGAGAGGTGGTGGTCATGGAGGAAGCTGATCTGGTAAAGAGGGAGGTAGAAGCAGATACTAGAAGCAAACAAAAGTTTGGACCAAAATTACAGTTCAAAGAAACAAATAAAAAGTGGAAACTATTCTGTAGTAACTACCCAAGAACTACTAAATGGAAAAACTGTGTTACCTTTTTTAAATTCCCTAAGTTCCCCTCTGTAATTTTTATGTTTTTGTGAGGAAAAAAGTAAAACATTTTTAATTTTATTTGACTTTATGACATTGCTTTTCAATAAGCAAATGTTAAATGTGTTAAGACTTGCACTAGTGTTGTAACTTTCCAAGTAAAAGTGTCCCCAAAGGGCACTTCCTATCTGATTTTTCCCAGTAAATGAGGCAAGCAATTCTAAGGTCTTCCACAAAACATCTAGCCATCTAAAATGGAAAGATACAAACAAGCTAGTTATTGGAGGGTGGTTGGGATATGCTACTCAAAACATTTCAGGGTGTCTTCCAACTGAAATCTCACTGTTTCACCATGAAAACCCTGAGATCAGATGCCTATGTAAGGAAAGTGCTATTCACCCAGTAAACCCAAAAAAGCCAATGGATAATGCTGGTCATTTTGCCTTTCTGACATTTCCTTGGGAATCCACAAGAACCTCCCTTTTCCCCTCCCGCAATAAGACACTTTAAGTATGTGTTAAACAACTATAGAACACTAAATAAAAAGCTTGGCCAAAAGCAAACATGAAGCTGCAAAGGTGCTTGCTCTTACTGTTTCAAGTTTTGGCAACTCTGTAGTGTCTGACTTTTAAAGGAACAGCTTGATTGCAAAGGAGAAAACAGATAGGCAATGAAGTTATTGCCAACTTCCTAAAGGCTTATGACTTCTAAAAAGTGAATCTATCCGCATTCCACATTAGATTTAAAGCAACAAATGCCTGTGAAACAGCAAAGATGGTTGAGGATTATGCTCATTATGGTCCTGGAGTGCTGATTTATTCACAGTAGATAAAGCTGGCAGTAAGAAAAATCAAATGCTAAGAGTTGTTGAAGCAGAAGGCGGCTGATTGTCAGTAAGTCACTACAGTTGCATAAGCAATGCTGTCAGAATTGGTTTGGTGTAGGCAATAGATCTTGCCTTCAAGGATCTCTGCGGATCTGAGAAAGGCATCAGTGTTATTAACACTCATAACTAGGGAGTGAGTGGTAGTTATTTAAAACAAGTAATTAATCAAATGGAAAAGGGGAAGTAATTAAGGAAATTGGTAAGTGGAGGTAGTCAAGAAGTTCTTGTGGTGCTTTACATAGATTTTACAGCTTTGGCTTTCATTTTGCTTAGCTAAAGTCATGGGGACAACTCTTTAATTTAGAAATTAAGTTGAATTATAAAAATGATGGATATAAGTGGTAGCTCTATCTAGTGAAGTGTCTGACAGTAAATGAAACACTTTTTTGTGGTGGCTTATTCAGAAACAGAGTTTAGTTGTAGAATAAAACTCATGAGTGACATATGGAAAATAACAAGCATGCTAAGCACACTGGAAACAATTAGGCCACTTGGCTTTCTTTGGCTGTATTATTTTATAAGCCTAATTTACCTCCTAGTCTTGGAAACAAGTTTTAGTTTATTGCTTTGGAGACTGAGCCCGTAGTATAATGTTCTCAAAGGAAACAGACTTGAGTTGTTGGATTAGAAGAATTAATTCAACTTCTAAGATTTTTTTTTTATCATAATTATGGTACTGTCACATTTTAACATTTGCAACTTGGGATAGTAAGTAAAACATTTTTGACTCTCATTTGACAGACTACTGCTAATTTACAGACCATAAGGGTAATTCCCAAATTTATGTGGTTGCTGCACTTCCATATTTTTCTCACCCCAATCCTTCCATACTCTTATGATTACTTGGGTGAAAGCTTCTGTGAGGACCTTTTGGCTCTTGAGATACCCGAGACATTTAAGATATTTAGATATCCTAAAGATAGTAGAGGATATAGAGATTGTACCAAATATAAATGTATATTAAGTTCAAAGCAAGAAGTATGTTAAAATGACCAGATAACTGTTTGATAGTTTACTGACGTAGCAGACATGTGAAAAACAATCAGATCTTGATTATTCTGGGTTTATACTGGTTGTAAAACAGAATGATATAGAAATGTTTTCCTTGTTTAACTGGTAGTTCAACATAGAGCTTGGGTATTATAGAACACTTTTCACTTTGTGGAATGTTTTGTATTGAAACAATAAAACTTTAACGAAGCAAAAAAAAGTATGTATATTGCCTATGGAAAATATACCACAAAAAAGTTAGTGGAATAATGTCTTAGAGGGTATATAAAATATTATTGCAACCTAAAATCTATATTCAGTGTAAGTGCATATTTCAAACACAAACTCAAAACTTAAAAAAGTCTCTGAATGTAGCTAGCCCTATAAATACATAAACAATTAAATTTGTTGTTTGTAAACTTTACCTCAGAGAACACAATCCCACATACATTCATAGTTACATTCTATAAATTGTTTAACAAAGAAATGCTATTCTTACACATTTTTTTTTTCAGAAAACAGAGGTCAACATTACCCTGATAACAAAAGTTAAAAAAGAAACTTCAAGAAAATAAAACTGGGAAATAATATCTTCATAAAGATAGATACAAACTTCTTAGCAAAATATTAGCAAATTTATTACTGGTAGAAGGTGTCCAGGCTCTTGGGGTCTCAAACAAGGAATTGAACAAAATGCACAAACAAAGCAAGGAAAGCAAAAGCAGGTATTTATTGAGAATGAAAGTATACTCCACAGTGTGGGAGCAGCCTGAGTATATGGGCTCAAGAGCCCCATTTACAGAATTTTCTTGGATTTCAATATTCTAGAAGTTTCCCATTGGCTACTTGGCATATATTCTATGTAAATGAAGAGAACGAGGTGAAGTCACAGAGTCATTTACTTGGAATGCACCCTATTATAAATAGAGAAGATGCTACTTGGTATGTGTGATCTAGGTAAATGGAGAGTATGGAATGTGAGGTTACAAAGTGTAAATGGCATGAACGTAGAGGATGAAGTGAAGTTGCAAAGCCATTCACATTCCTATCATTGCTGAAGTGCTTTCATTTGATTTAGTTCTAGGAAGTCAGCATGGATCAGTCTTACGTTTCCTGCCTCCAGGCCCTATCCTCCTGCCTCAATGTGACGTAATAAAGTCAAGTTAGTATCATAGCGGAAATGCAAGATTGGTTTGAGTATCAGCCTATATAATTTACTACATTAATATACTTTTTAAAAAGCTATGGTTATCACAAAAGATGCAGGAAAGCCTTAATGGTGAAAAATATATGTTCTTCCTTTAATATTAGTAACAAAGAAAGGATTCCCACTTTTTTTTTTCTTGTATTTTAGTAGAGACGACATTTCACCATGTTGGCCAGGATGGTCTTGACCCTGACCTTGTGATCCACCAACCTCGGTCTCCCAAAGTGCTGGGATTATAGGTGTGAGCCGCACCCAGCCGACTCTTAATATAAATTTATTCAATAAGTCAAAACATAAAACATATGAACATTAGAAAGGAAGCATTAAAACTATCCTCATTCACATATGACATATGCAGAAATGTATATGTGCATATACATTGAGGAATTGAGAAAAAGTTCTAGCGTTTGTGAGTAGACTAGCAAATGAAACGATATCAGGTCTCCACACAAAAATCAATTGTATCCCCATATACTAGCAATGAACAGAAATTGAATTGTAAAAAATATCAGCCTTAATAGTATAAAAAACATGGAATGACTAGTGATAATTTTTTTTTAAATATGTGCAAAGCAAACTGAAAGAATATTGCTGAGAGAAATCTCTATGCAACCTCAATCAACAGGATTACTTGTTGAACTTGACAAGCTTATTTCAAAATATATGGTAGTATAAGAGATTAAAAAATGGATAAGTAATTTTAATTTTTAAAGAAAATGTTAGAGGACTTAACACTCCCTAATTTCAGGATATAATACAAATACAGACATAATCAGGCCAATTTGATGTTGGTATGAAGACAGACACATAAATCATTAAAATAGAATCAAAAGTCTAGCTAGCTAGCTAGATAGATAAGTAATAATTTATCTTTCACAATGTTTCCAAGTCAATATAATGAGAGAATTATACTATTGAAATACTATGTCTGGAACAATAGCATATTTTTATGAAACAAAAATAAAACTTGGTTCTTAATTCACGCTGCATACCAAACAACTCAAAATAGATTATAGACCTAAAATTAAGGGATACAAATATTAAACTTCTAAAAAACAATATCTTTAAGATTTTCAGTTGGTAAGCAAAAATATTTTATATAGAATGCCAAAAAGAGTATGAATAACAAAAATATTAACATTTAGAATACATAAAAATAAAAAACTACTGTTCTTTAAAACACACCCATAATGAAATAAGGCAAGACATAGACTAGAAGAAAATATTGGAAATGAATATATTTAACACAGAAATACATCTAGACTATCTAAAGAACTCTTAAAATTCAATAGTAACAAGAAAAATGAATCAATTTTAAATTAGAAAAAAAGATGTAAATATGTATTTGATTTTAAAAGATATCAAATGACCAATTACCACCTGGAAAAATTGCCAGTGTCATTAGTTATCAGGGAAATATAAACTAGAACTATAATCAAATACCACTAAAACCTAAGAGAATGGCTAAAATGCAAGACTAACAATACCAATATTGACAACTGGTTACTAACATACATTGCCTGTGAGAATATAAAATGACAACCTTTGAAAAATACATTTTATCAGTTTTATATAAATTTGAACAGACATTTACCATATGACCTAGCCATTTCATTTTTAGATATTTGCCCAAGAGAAAAGAAAACATACACCCATACAGACACTTGTGCACAAATGTTTACAGCTTTTTCGTTCCCCATGGCCAAAATCTGGGAACAGTCAAAACAGCCATTAACATGTGAATGAATAAACATGTTAGTATAACATACAATTGAATGCTAAGAAGCAATACAAAGGAATGAACCATTGATACGAGCCCACAACATACATGATCTCAAAAACATCATACTGAAAAAAAAAAAAAATGTTATACTGAAAAAGAAGTAAGGACAGAAGAATAGGTACTTTTGAGTCATTCGTATGAAACTCAGGGAAGACAATTCCAATCTTTACAGGCAGAAAGCAGATTGGTGACTGGAGCTAATGTGGTTGAAACAGGATTGACTGTGAAGAATCACAAGGAACATTTTTGGGTCATAAAAATATTCCATGTCTTGATAATGGTGGTAATTACCTGTCTGTACACATTCATCAAAACTCATCAAAATACACACTAAATTGGGATGCATTTTAAGTAAATTATCCCTTGATAAAGTGTACTGTATTGAAAAAAACTTAATCTAAGTTTTATATCTTAGAGAAAATTTAGATTTCCAAAATAAGAAATATGATTGTATATATTTTCATCAGTCTGTACATCAGTCTATACACCAAGCAGTATATAAAATTATTATATTTATTTATGTTTTAATAAATTAATTTAACATAGTATAATGGCATGATGTAATAGAGAAAATCTTATACTAAGGATGAGAATCTTTAAGTTAGATTCCAGTTCTACTTATTATTGGATATGTGATCTTGGTCACAGCCACTGATGCCCCCCATGTCTCACTTTTCACACTTAATAATGAATATTATAATACAAATCCAATAAAGTGCAGTAGTATTCAAATGGCATGATGATTTTGTCCTTCCCCACAACTTTAAAGCATATATAAAGATAGCTTTATTCCTATATTAGCATCAACATTACTTTAAAAAGTAGACATTGGCTTTGTTACAACTTGTGCAGGGAGTCTATGCTTCCCACAATAAAAGAGAGTTGCTTTATGCTCTGTCATCCATGATTCAGAGAATGTTTAACTAATATTAGATTATATTTACTTCAGTGAAAGAGGTGAGAGGCTATTGGAAAAAATAAAACTGGATGGCAATTTATAGTCAAAAAATACAATAAGGCTTGGGCATGGTGGCTCATGCCTGTAATCCTAGCACTTCGGGAAGCTGAGGTGCGGGGATCACTTGAGTACATGATAGTGAGACCAGCCAAGGCAACACGCTGTCTCTACAAAAAATTTAAAACAGCAGCTAAGTGTGGTGGCATGCCCCTGTAGTCCCAGTTACTCAGGAAGCTAAGCTGGGAAGATTGCTTGAGACCAGGAGTTCCAGGCTTCAGTAAGTCATGTTTATACCACTGCACTCCAGCCTGGGCAACAGAGTAAGACTCTGATTTAAAAAAAATGTGGTATGTATCATCACAGACTGGCAAAAGAACGTATACCCTTTTGAGTCTAGGTGAGAATTTTTTTTCTATGAATATATATTAGTTTGATACATCTTATTGGAATTGAAGTGTATGTATTATTGATTTATATATGTTTATTTAAAACTAGTAACAAGGAGCTAGGCAAAGTTCAAATGAGGGTATCTTCCAAGTTTTATAATTAAATTTTATAATTACTTTTCTCATTTATGCTTAATTATATAATGATTTTGCTATATGCTAAATTTTTAATTTTTTGTTCTGTATGTGAGTGTATTTTGTATTAAAATAAATGACCAACCATAGCGAACCTACAGTAGAAAAGAGTGAACGGTGATAATAATGTCTCCCCTTTTGTTGCAAAATAAACTGGATCACTTCTTTAGGATTAAGTAGCAAAATAAAGTAAAAACAAATTCATATGGAAATACAATGAGTAGCAGAGACAAAGAAAGAAACTTAGTTTTATAGCTGTGTTCAGTTGTAAAGAAGATAATGCATATAGCACAGTAGAAGACTGAAAAGTCAAGGGGAAAAAAGTTATTTAACTAAATAAATGGTTTGTGAAATACTAACAAATGGGAGACCTCCACAAAAAATTTTAACAGTTTCCTGGGAATGTTGTCGGCTAAATAATGGAGTAATGCCCCTGAGAAATTCTAAGTGCACTACTATTTAGGAAATATAAAAACTTGTTTGGGCTTATTGTTAGACAAAGATTGGACCTCAGATTGGACAAACTTTATGGTAAATGGAAAGAACTTGCCTTTCTGAAG